CAAAGGAGCTTGAGCTTTTTAGGTTTAGCCGTTTTTACACTTTTCTTAGAGTAAAGCTTGGAGTTTTTCGGATTGTTTAAAGGAAGATTCAAATTTTGACTAGAAGATTCACCTTTTGGGGAGATTTCTTATCTTTCATCTCGTTTCATTATGTTTAACTTGTGTATTTCTGTTTCATTTTTGTAATAAATTTAGCTATGAACTAATCTTTTATGGGTTAGGGTTTTGATGTAGTTTGGATTCTAAATGGGTTGAGTATTTGAGTGTTATTTCCATGTGAATAAGCTTTGGTTGTGTGTTACTCTGAAATTGAATGCTGTAGTGATGAACATGATGAGATTGAGAAATAATTCATGTTAGGCTTCTTGGGTAAACACCATTATAGTATTGGATGCTAGAGATAGATTCAAGAATTAATTAAATCAATTTAGGATTCTTGTGCTTAATGAATCAGAATTATTAACCTCAATTTGTTGGGTGCGGAATGTTAATAAGGATGAATAGGAAAACATGGCCCGAGAGGGTATGTTTAACATATTAGTGAATGTCGTTTACAACCATTGCGCATGATGTGAATATATGTAATTTTAGGTTTAACCATAAAAATCCAAACGAAGTCAAAACCCTACCCTTTTTGCTTAAATTGATATTCTGTGTTTAATCTTGCTTTCTTAATTAAGATTAATTCTTTGTTTAATTTCATTGTGTTTTTAATTTCAATTTGCCCACCAATCCAAGATTTGATTGCTTCAACTTGATAACGTTAGGAAACTTAGTGCTTTGCTAAACAGTCTCATGGGAACGATATCCTACCCATCACTTTATTACTTGAGCGACTAGTGCACTTGCTAGTTTTGCATGTTGTAAGAAATATGCATCAGTTGTTACATGTAAACAGTCTCACTCAATGTACCATTCAAGAAGGAATTATTGACATCAATTTGTTGTATGTCCCAGCCATATGAGACAGCAATTGTAAAGATGATGCGAATGGTGTAAGGTTTAATAACCGGGCCAAAAGTTTCAAAGTAATCTAGCCTGAGGGTTTGTTGAAATCCTTGGGCTACCAACCTAGCTTTATATTTTTGCAAAGTACCATCAGCATTGAATTTGGTTCTAAAAACCCACTTGTTACCAACAATGTTCATATCACAAGTTTTAGGAACAAAAGTCCAAGTATTGTTCTTTATAAGTGCATCAAATGCATCTTGCATAGCATTCTTCTAGTCAACATTAGCCAAAGCTTCAGGTATAGTGGTAGGTTCTGGTTTTATGGTGGTTGATGATTTGGAGGACATTAGGACTGTTGTTGTTTGACCAGTAGACTTAGCTCGGGTTACCATGGGATGAATATTGAAAGGTAGTTTTTTATTGTGTTGATATTGTTAAATGTGATTAGTTGCTAAGGATGTAGGATTTGGCTGTTGTTGTTGGTTATGACCTGATGTGGTAAGTAATAATGTTGATGGTGAAACTTGAAATTGTGATGGTGTTAAATCAACCACAAGTGGACAAGAAGGCAATGTCTCTAAACTGGTTAGTTGAGTTTTTAAAGAACTATCTGGTTTACAATTGGTGAAATCAATGACTTTTGAACAATTGTTTTGTGTTTCAGGAACAAAACTGTTTGATGGGGATTCTAATGTGTGAAAACTGGAAGGTTCTTATGAGTTTTGTGGTTCAGACTCTAAATGAGGAACTGAAGAAAGAGGTAAGGCGGATTTAGTAGACTGTAATATGGGTGAATCTTGTGGAACAGATAGGGAAGGTTTTAAATTAGGTAAGTCATGAGACTCAGAATTTTGTGAAGAGTTGATGACAATGTTTGAGGTGTCTAGTTTGTTGAAACCATTATTGCAAGGAGCAGTTAGAGGACAACCATGATGCGAGGGAGTTCTTTTGCTGGAGCTGTGATCAGTTGCAAATTGCTCAAAGATAAATGGAAAACTAGGGGTTGGAATTTCAGGACTGGTTAAACTTTCTTGTTCTAAAGCTGCTACAGATGAATTTGACTCAAGAGAGTTGAATCAAAACCTTTATTAAATGGAAACTTTGACTCATTAAAATGGACATTAGGAGTGATAAACATCTTACCTTTCGAATTGATACACTTATAACCTTTGTTTTTAAGACTATAACTAACAAACACACATTTGGAGGAATGAAAACTAAGTTTATGTTTGTTAAAGTCTCTGAGATAAGGCAAGCAAGTGCAGCCAAAGGTTTTAAGAGAGAAGTATATTGGTTTTGATCCAAACAAGACTTCATATGGTGACAAAAAATTCAACACAGCAGTAGGCATCCTATTTATAAGAAGCACAGCTGTATCAAATGCAAACCACCAATAATGCAAAGGCATGGATGCATGAGCTAATAATGTAAGACCAGTTTCAGCAATGTGTAGATGTTTTCTCTCACTTCTCCCATTTTGTTAGTGAGCATATGCACATGAATGCCTAAATTGTATACCAGGAGTAGTGAGGTAAGAAATTAAGCCTTTATATTCTCCTCCTTGGTCTGATTGCAAGCATTTGAGCTTGCAATTAAACTGCCTTTCGGCCAGGTGATGGAATTTAATGAAAATAGATTGAACTTCAGCTTTTGTTCTTAAAGGGAATAACCAAGTGAAGCAACTATAGTCATCAATAAAATGAATATAATATCTATATCCTTCTAAGGAAGCAACTGGAGATGATCCCCAAACATCACTATGAACAATGTCAAGTGGATGTGTTGCTCTAGAGTGAGACATTGGGAAGTTATTTTTATGAAGTTTACCTATCTTACATGTATCACAAAATGGTAATTGGGACATACTGCTAGCAGGAACTTGCTGTAAATGAGACAAAATTTTGTGCAGTGTTTCAATGTGTGGATGCCCTAGTCTATTGCGCAAAGAGATAAGTGATTCTCTTTATTATTACTAACTTGAAAAACACAAGGTTTATTGTTTAATAAAGGTTGATTGGTATTGTTAAGCTCACAAGCATTATTGGTTTTTATATGTAATTCATCATAAGGTAAAGACAGCAAAGAAGGTAATGATGATATTGTTTTATTTAAAGAAGGCATATTACATGAGTGAGATGTTTGGCACAAATTTGAGACAGTAGCATCTAACTTACAACTATTATCAGAGGACTATATATCAGTCATGATACAACCTTTATTGACATAACTAGACTTATTTCCTTCATGTAAAACAGAACCTAAAGATTGATTAGCAACTGCAGTAACATATAACTGAAGTACTGAATCCGACTGACTATTAGGAGCAACAGCAAATGGTGGCAAGGAAGGAGAAGTATGCGATGGTAGGCTAGAGGGTATTTGCAACTGATACAAACCAGCCTTAAGTCCTCCCTACAACAGAACTATTCTAGAAGCTTTGTCCTTTACTGTACAATATTCAGAATCAAACTCAACAACTACATTATTATCTTTGGTAAGTTTGGAAATACTAAGCAAGTTTTTTTTTTTTTTTTTTTTTTTTTTTTGGTACGCAAAGCGCATTCTTTAAGTCAACACATTTAGATTTCAAAGAAGTAGGGAGTAAAGTAAAGCCAATATGAGAGATGTTTAGAGACTCACCATTGCCTACTTGTAGTTGATCACTACCATCATAACTTTCACTAGTTGTTAACTGATTTTGATCTGATGCAACATGATCTGTTGCACTAGAATCCATATACCATGCAGGGTCAGGAGGTGTGTTGGAGGTGATGGTGGTGTGATAAACAAGTGTAGGTGAGTGAGCAGCAAAATAAGCTTGATTTGAGGGTTGCATTTGTGGACTTGGAACCTTGAAGCATAGCTCTTGGTTTGAGTAGGAAGAGTGCTTTTGCTGATCAATGAATTGATACTGTGGAGATTGTGAATTATGGCTCCCATGTTGTTGTGCATGAGAACCATATAGGTGATTCCTGGTGCCAAAGGTGTTCCTAGATGAATTAGCACCAATACTGTCAACATTAGTCCCAAAATCTTGAGAGAAACCAGGAAACTGCTGTGCTGATGATGCATTAAAATGGACTAAACACTACAAGAATTTAGGCTTTTCGCAACAAAATAATTTTCACTATACATATCAAAATTATGACCATTTCACTAATGTGGGGAATTATATTGGTCACCAAATTGGTCACATTAAGCTTATACTCTTAAGTATATGGTGACGAAAGAGTGTTGGGTCATTATAGCCTAATTATTTATTGTGACATTAATAATTTGTCATTGTAAACTAGTTTATTGTGATAAATTATTTGTAACAATAGATGACAATTTTTATCACTATAAGTAATATTTTGTCACAATTGATTTACATTTAAAGACCAAATGATAAGCTTTATGGTGAAAATATAATATATGATGACGAAATTGATTTTGCCAAAATTGTGACAATAATGACTAAACTATATTCTCATAATTTTAATAGTGACCGAAATTTATTTATCATTGATTTTATTGTGACAACATTTATTTTATCACATGTTTGTTTATATGATAATATTATTTGTCAAAAATTGCATAGTGACAGAAATAATTTTGTAAAAAATTTACTAGTATGACAAATAATTTTTAATACAAATACTTTTACATGAAAAATTTTTTATTGACAAAATAATATAGGCATGACAAATATTTTTTGTCACCTCAATATACTTTGTTTCTCTATCTTTGCATAACCCTTCTTGCATATTTTTTGGGTAAAAGGTAATTATATAAAGAATAAAAGAATTGCATCCCAAAAAGAAGAGCCCTACAAAGTCAAGTTCCTTGGACAAGCCCAAGCAACCAAGCCAAAGAAAACAAAAAAGGTGGCATGGATTTACATTCCAAAAAAGCCACCAAGCAAGCCTCAAAGAGGACTCTACAAAATGACCAACAAGACAAATACAATGTCAGACTTTGGTATACAAAAGCCAACTGCACATGCTATACACAAAAGAACCATCCACCCAAAGAACCCAAAAATTCCGCAAGACTACTAAAATCCTGCTTATATACGCAACCAAAACAAGAAGAAAAGGAGGGAGCAGCAACATGCAATCTGTAAATAATTCCCCAGCGAAAAAAGCTCCAGAAAAGGTTCTGGTCAATGGCGAGAAAAGTCTTCTTCCAAGCCTCCAAGGTTTCAACATGGAAATATCTACAGCCCAAATAGTAATACTTGCCCAGCACACATGAATAAGTAAGCAAGAATGCAGCAGCTCCCTTGGAGGAAGAGACTTGGCAGCATCCAAAACCTGAAGAGTTAAAAAAAACAAAAACAAAAAAAGGGAAAAATATCGTCAATACAATATGAACAATGTTTATAGCATTAGAAGAATTTGGAAAAGCATAAAGTGGTAACATTCTTGAGAGAGAATGGAACTATAAGATAATACAAAGTAGCTACTATTGGGTGTTAAAGGTGAGCCCATGAGGTTGGAACTAGTCAATATTGAGTAAAATACCCAAGAAAAACCAACGTTATAACTATCTCCATTGACTTAAAGCTAGGAGTATTTGGCACATAAGGGTTAATCATTACTTCAAATCAGGGCAAAATCTTACAAATTATTTGCATTGGGAAACTAAAGATGATAAACTAACAAAATGATTTCCTGAATAAGCAGTTTGGTTGAAGGAATAAAAGCTACTAATTCATCAACACTAGTAGTATTCCCACATCAAAAACATGAACCAAGATGCTCAAGAATTAATTATATCTGTAGAACTTGATCATAGTTGTATCCTTCAATAGAACACACTTATCTTCTTGTTACTTAATTAAGGGATAACAGAATATATGAAGTGATAAAATGATGCATCCTCAAAGAAGTTACAATTCTAGATTATTCTAGATTTCAACATTCATCATCCAACCAGGTGCATATCATACAAAAGTCATGCTATTTCATGAGATGCACCAAATGCTTGTGGTTTGATCCTCACTCTAAACATCCAACATATCATGTCACAAAATAATGGAAAGTAATGTTTGTCTCTTACCCATAAGTGACATATGGCTCCACCTTTTGCAGCTATTCTTATATGCCTTCACTAGCCATGGCAAAGACATCACTAAAGATTTTCGTCAATCTTAGTTTGTGCAGGATCTTCTTAGTTTTTGGGTGCATGTCATTTTGCCTGAATAAAATGATAGTGAGATATCATAGCCCAAAACAATACAAAGCAAAAAACTTTAGGCAAATCACAAAAGAATGCAACGTACCCTTGTATGCGTATGATAAAAAGCAGCTTAGATTTTGGCTCCACCAGAGCTGATTTTGCCCTTTTCCCTCTCTGTTTCATTCAGATAAGGTCTAATTCCTTTATAGAGACATAGGTTAGTAATTGCTAATATCAGACCATGTTTACACTAAACCGTAAATATTAAGGATAATAGGCAAACACAAAAAATTAATGTGTATCACAAACAAATTATCATCAAATAAATAATATTGAATGAAAGCTGAATCCACAAGTAATATGATTTTGATTGCAGTAAATCATAATAAAAAGACCAACAAACATGCTGAAATTTTGTCTCTATATTTCCGCAATTATATATTACTACTCAATAAATTCCATTTTCTATTAATTTCTCCCACACAACCAACGCAATGCACCATATAATCAATTTAAATGCAATATGCCAACTCAAATGAAAAACTTTTAATTTGAAAATGCCAGAGATTCAGTAAATAAGCCTTAAAAATCAAACCTTCAAACGAATTCACCGCTGTCGCCCACTGGTGACCATCCCTAGCCAGATGACTATTCTGTTCACAGTTGTAACAAGCCCCTCTGTCGCCACCCCTTCATCTTCTGCCTTTCTACCCACCGCCTCGCCTTAGCCTCCACCACCGTCCAGTTCACACCAGGCCTGTAATAGCACGGTGCGATTCTGGAAACCAATGCACCCTTAAACCATAACCGCAACAAACAAAAACCTCCAAACTACGCATTATATTAACCCAACACAAGCAACCAGTGCACCCCAAACAACCATCAAATTCACCTTGAAAATGAACAAATCCATGAAAACATTAAACAAATAGTGAGAGAGGGGAAACAAGAATGAAGAGAAAAAAAGAAAATAAATTAGAGAAGGTGGCCACCTGCTAGAGTTCGTAGTGACTTCGATTGGAGGTTTTTAGATTTTGGGGCTGTTGGAGGGAAGTCTGTGGGGATGAGGGAATGTGAGCAATAGGCATGAAAGAAAATTGGGGGTGGAGCTTTTGGGGCGGTGGGGTGGGGAAAATAGATAAAAAGGGGTTGGGCAATTTTTTCTATTTATTTGAAATTTGATTTTTTTTCTTAATTATTAAAATTGGTTATTTATTAATTTATATTCTATATATTTTTTTGTTTTGTTTAAAAAAATTAATTTTTTTTCTTTTGTTTAATAGACTATTTTTAACAAAAATAAAGATAAACTATCTTTAATATATAAAGTATATATTATTATTCATCATATCCAATACAATTTATATTATTCGACCCTTCATAATTTTTATAGATTTAATGACCTAAACTTTTCAATTGAGCATTTTTTAGGTTTTTATATATGTTTAATTAATCAATTACTTATGCTTATAAAAAAACTAGAAAATGTCTATCGTTTAATATATAAAATATATATTATTATTTGTCATAACTGTAAATATTGTAATTGATTTTTTATTATAATTTCAAGCTAATACATATGCATCATTTACATGCATATATATTCTTATTCACCCTATAAAATTAGAAGTTTAAATCAATCACTCAATCGAGTCCTTGCTGCAATAAATTAGAAATGGCAAATTTAATTAAATAGAGTATTAACTAAACCACATATGAAACACCCACCTCAGGGATAGCTTGAATTGTATAATTTATCTCAATCTTCTAATTTCATATGATCATATACTGTATATACTTTATTACATGACAACCAAAAAGAATAAAAGAATTTCAAAGAGGACGAGACAACCGCCTGTATGGTCTAAAATTATGTTATTCATTAATCAAATACTGGTTGTAGGGTCTTTTTCTGATATTAATTAATTTAGTCAAATTTTATTGGTCTAGAGTTATTATTAGAAGTTGGAGTAGTATTAGAATTAAGTATTACTACATATGATTAACTTGTAAGTCTATATAAGAAGCCTAAACCATGGATTATCATTGTATTTTTATTGGATTAGGATATATTCTAATATACTAAAACGGATTCTTTTTTTCTCTTTTCTTTTTCCAAATTAAGAGTAAATTGTGTGCAAAGATCATTGGTGGAGCTGCGAAACATTAATGAAATAAATTTAAAAAAAAAAAGACCAAAGAAAAAGCCAATTTTTTAAAAAGGGTACTGGAAGATTCAAACCTATGCACTCTTCTCTCAACTCTTCCCTTTAACCACTTAAGCAAACCAACTCATTTTTTTTCTACTATATATATATATATATATAATCTAACTAAACATACAAACTCACAGCCAAAGTGTGAGAGAAACAATTGCGTTTTAGAGTATGTTTGTCCCTTCTCCCTACTTCTTCTCCCTCTTGCGTTTTATTTTTCTTCTTTCAGGATTTGGTTTTTTCAATTCAATTTTACGAAAAATAGAAGAGATCAAAGGCAGCTCACTTCACCCAATTCAATTTTTCCCTTTTTCACCCAATTCAATTTTTCCCTTTTTTGTTGTATCACCAAAGAAAATTAGGAGAATCAAAGGAGAGTTCATAAGGAAATTCCCTTTTCGCCCAATTCAATTTTTCCCTTTTACCCTTTTTGTAACCATGGCTGAATCGATTTATTTTTGTAACGTGTAATACAAAAATTAATATTTAACATGTGATCCAAATATTAAGTCTATAACATTAAGGCCGAAAATGTAAATATTTGTATTTAGATTGAATTTGATTTGTATTCTTTTACCATTAAAGCCGAAAATGGTACATAATATTTACATTTATAAAATTATTAATGATTTTGTATTTTTTACAATCTTTTGGCTTTTTCAAGTTTTTTAAAAAAAATAAAGGAATCATATTATATGTTTTTTAGCAAATTTTTGTCACAAAATATAACGTTCAATCTAACTCAAATATTTATCACTAATACCTCTATTATAACATATATAAATGACAATTTTTTTTTTTTAATGATAAATAATTCTTTTGTGACAAATGAGTTTATAATTATAGCATGTATTATTAAATAGAGTGACTAAAGTTTTTGATGACAAATATGTTTGTCACAATAAACTATTTATCTCGGTGCTTAAATTTTGACTCAAACATTTTGTCATTAATACCTCTATTTCAACATATATTATGACAATTTTTTTTTAATAATAAATAAATTCTTTTTGTGACAAAATAATTTGTAGTTATAGTATGTATAACTAAATATAGTGACTAAAATGTTTTATGATAAAATATGTTTGTCACAATAAACAATTTACCTAGGTTCCAAAAATTTGCACCAAAAATTTGCGACGAAATATTATGATAAAAATGTTTTTCTTCACTACATTTATTATGGGTTTCTTAATTGTGATAAAATATTATGACAATATTTTTTTTAGTCACTATATATTCTCTTTGTCATACTTAATGTGATGTTTCTTTATTTTGTCATAATAACTATATTACTCGTGACAAAATAACATTTGACAAAATTAATTTTGTCACAATATAATATATTTCTTGTAGTGAAAGAAGCAGAAGCACCACCAGAATAACCAGAAGCTGGAGCACCATCAGAATAACTAGAACTATTGAACTAAGGTGCAGAGCCATTATAACTGGAGTTGTAACGATGATAGCCTTGAATAGCTGTATGGCCCATTTTACCACATACTTAGCAAACTAGTTTACCTCTGCCATTACCAACATAGCCAAAAGGTCTATAGGAAGGAACATTGTACTAACCAAGCTGATTTATAGCTTCAGGTAAGTAATGAGGTGTTTTTTGATTCATCAGTAATCCACCAGCAGTCAAGGGGAAGGTACAGGCAGAGCATTCTGCAGTGGTATCATATGATTTGTTAACCCAAAATTTCCAAATCCAGCACTTCCAGAGGAACCTTTAGCAGAAATTGTGGAAACTGGTGTAGAGTTAGAAATCTGAGACTTGTTCATGTTGGAACTAAGTGCAACCATATTGATTGAGCAGTTTGGAAAGTCAAGAGAATTAAATTTCTCAAGTCTCAGTTCATACTTTTGCAGCAGAAATTAAGCTTCCTGTAACGTAATTGAATCAAACTTGGATTCAATTCTGGATGTCAAGTTAACGACCATTGCATCAAACGCTGGTCCTAATCCATCTAAAACATACTGTAATAAGTCTTCATAGGAGACAACCTGACCACTGAATGATAAGCTCTTAGCAATCCCTTTCATTTTCTTAACATATTCATTAACATTCATACTGCCTTTTTGTGTATTTTGGAGCAGATTTTTCAAATGCAAAGCTCTAGCCTTAGAATCAACCAAAAATTCATTTTCATGTGCAAACTAGATATCAGTAGCAAAATTGCATTTTGATACTTGACTGAACATGCATTCAGAAATTGACGCTAAGAGCCATGTGACAAGAAATTTATCTGTCTTTTTCTAGGTTATATACTCTGGATTATTCCTTTCTTTTCCTAGGGTTTCTTTAATTTCATTTGAGCTTAACTCTTTCAATTCATCATCTGGAACAATAAAAGGTTCAGGACATGTAATTAAACCTGTTAGGTGTTCTTCAAGATCGTGAGCGCCAACTATGGAGAGAACTTGAGACCTCTAAAACTGATAATTGTCTCGGTAATTGTCTCTAGTTAATTTTGGAGTAATGACTTGAAGACTGGAGCTGAAAATCAAAGAGTGAAAACTGGCTAAGCTGTTAAGCATCTTCTCTGCATTTTTGTTAGAGAGATTATGATCAGGAATTCTTGTCATTGACGTTAGTCTTTGGCTCTGATACCATGTGAAACCTTAAAAGAGGAGTGGATTTTTCTTTATAGAGTTTCAAAGAATACTCAAGTAAAGAGTATTTTCATTTCTTAATTGATTGTATTACAGATGCAACAGCTCACCTTTTATACTTGTAACGACCTGAAGCAGATGACTATTTTTCAACAATATTCATAAGAGTAAAACGGCATCGTGTAAGAGAAACCGAGTAAACAGGGACAAATTACAAAGAGACCCTATATTTTCATACTAAGGCTGATTGACAGGTGTAACGTCAAGGAATATAATTTGGTGTAACATTGCTTTCACATACAGATGCATCTTATTAATGTTCTTTTATAAATTTATATTCCTTGACGTGAAGATATGATAGTCTGAGTTAAA